ACCGCGTGGGCCAGGGAGCCACCGGGCCCCGCCGGCAGCGCCAAGCGGGGGGACGTTCTCTGTCTGCAGTGTGCTCGGAAATGGGGATTATTTTCCGGTCATGAAGGAAACGAGCAGCTCCCTGCAGCACCCCAGGAGCCGCCAGCACCCTGCACAGCAGCACTGCCCGGCTGCGGGAGCAGCGGGAGCCAGGGCGGCAGGCAGAGCCCACAGGAAGGGTCCTGCTTGGCCATGGGTGCAGCAGGATCATCCCCGGGAAATGGTCCTGCGTGGGGCGCAGTGCAGGGTGAGCTGTTTCGCTGGGGATGGCATCACGAATCTTTTCCTTCCTGGGAAAGCTGGCAGGGGTATCGCAGGTGCCCGCAGTGGGCGCGATGCCTCCAAATCCCTGACCACGGCGCCGATCACCCATCGCTTCCGCAGGGGCACTTGGGCTGATGTCCCCCAGCTCTGCTCCTTCCTTGCGGTCCCATCTGGAACAACCTCCTGTCCCAGCGCTCGCTTTAGGGACACTCGGATTTTCCCATCTTGGGATATCCCTTTCCTGCAACTCCTTGTGTTTTTATATTTTCGTGCTTTGGGGTGACCGCAGGTCCCAGTGCGCAGGCTTCTCCCGGTGGATCGGCCTCCCTGTGCCGGGACTGCCCCAGCAGCTGCAGTGCCAGTGGTTATGGGACAACAAAAGCGGTTTGTGCCTCCAGGGGAGAAATAAGAATGCAAATATCTTTGGCATGAAAAAAGCAAAGGAGATTTTCTCCTTGGCATTTCTTGTCAGTGCTCTGCATCTGCCCCTCTCTGCTTCACCTTCTTGCTCTTTGCCCCTTTTTATGCTTCCTCGCCACCCCGTAAGTACAGTGAGATTTCACGGAGGCCTTTGGGATGGACGCTCGGTTATCCCACTGGAGTTTGTCCCACTGTTCCTGCTCCACATGGACAACGTTTTCTGCAAAGGGTCTAGCAGTAAGAGGGGTGAAAAAAATTCTCCCGCCTGAGTACCTGGCAGAAATCCTAGCAAATCTGCAAAAATATGTTTTTGTCGGTGCTGCTTATTCTGGTAGGAGAGCTGGTCTAAGCTATTCCGGTAGGAAACCTTTTTTTCCTGGAATAAGCTCTTGCCTGTGTGCACAGCATTGGGAAGGCGGCCTTAGCAGGAAGGCAGCTCTGCCGAGGGGCCCAGCGGGACCAGGGCAGGACTCACACCCGCTGCCTTGGCCGAGCTCTCATTGGAAACAGAACCTGGGCTGCTTGTTTGGACGGTCCGGGAGCCTGCTGGGGTTCTGGACACAGTCTTTGGGTCCTGCCGCATCCCGTCTCCTTGCTTTTGCCGATCTAGCTGGGCTCTCCATGGGTTGCTGGAGAGGTCTGGGCAGCTCGGAGGGGCTTGGGAGACTTCAAAGCGCGGCAGGTTCCTGGGCCAGGGCCGCCGCTTTGTTCTCCAGGCAGGCGTGAAAACACCAAAGAATGTGAAAAATGTGACAATGAGCTGGGCAGCCCCGAGATTTGTAAACTTCTGGTTAATGTGTACTAAAGCCCGAGTGCTGGGTGAGCGAGCGGGGTGTGAGCGGCGGTGCCATCCCTGGCAGCCCGGGCATCCTCTGGCCCCCGACCGGCACTCTGGGCTTCTCTGATTTGGTTTCTCTGCTTTTCTTGTTATTTCTGGTCTGCGTTATCTGGCTTTATCAAAACACACTTTTATCTGCGCTGATTACTGAGCTGCTCCTCAGCCTGGGGACTTTGCACTGGGAATGGTCTCCAGCGTCCTGCCGGGGCCGCAGCGCCCGTGCAGCGTGCGCCGCGTTTCAAGGAGCACAGTGCAGTGCGCTCCTCTGCAGGGCGAAGGAGGCCTTAACTGGGGGTGCAATTACGCCCAGGGAGCTGACGCGGCCGTGGTGCTGAGCGCTGCGTTTCCCCTCTGCTATCTGGGTGTTCAGCACCCAGGCGAGGAGCTATCGCACCTGCCAGCCGCGCCAGGCCTCAAGTAGCTTCTTCACAGTGACATTAAAACTGCAGGGGTTACGATTTTGAGGTTTTCATCCCGCTGTCCCTCTCCATGGGTTGGAGCTGAGTGTCAGCGCAGTTTTTCCCATCTGTTTCTGGCCTGAAGGCCCTTTTGAGAGCAATCTGCAAGGTGCGCGGTTTTGGTCCCCTCTGGGGTTATGGAGCATGGTCCAAGCAGGAGGTGAATCTCTCTGAAACCAGACTGTGATGGCAGGGAGGAGTTTATTTTATTTTATTTTATTTTATTTTATTTTATTTTATTTTATTTTATTTTATTTATTTGTGGGAAAATAAAGACTATGTAGCTCCAGTCAGCTATGTCCCCAAACCTAATCGAGGCTCCCCTTGCTGCTTTGCAGCTGAGAGGAGCTGTGGTTTTGTGGTTCAGGCAGAACATGGGCCCACGCAGCTGATCCGGCTGCCGCTCGCTCCCCGTCAAGCTCTACACATGGAAGTTTATGAATTAAAGCTCTGGGCTACAAGTTACCGAGCTCTGTTCCTAATCACTGCGGTGCTGCGTAAAAGACCCAGAGCTGCCGGTCTGAGCTGCCCGCCTGAGCTCTTAAAATCTACATAGTGAAGCCTGGGAATAATTTGTTTTGCCAGCTACAAAATTCTCGGACTACAGATTGGGCTCATTGTATTTCCTGTCCTGCCTCCTTGTATCGCACCGGCCTCTTTTAAGTCAGACGATTCCCGTATTGACTTCCCACTCTGGGTGTATCTGGGTCACTCGGGCTGTCGTCCTCCTCGGCAGTGTTGACCAACCCACCGGCGTTGTGTCCTCAGCTGCGCATTCCTTCCCCAAGGTCGCTGATGCACGACTGGAAGCATCTGTCACAACACTGGTCCTAGCTGGATGCCACTGGCGTGTGCGCGTCACCCCCGCCGTGGGCCGCCCCATCCCGGCATGCGGAGCACGGCACCAGCGCTGTGCGCCTTCCTATCAGCATGGTTTTGTCAGATCCGGGCAGATTTGTATGCGTTTGGCCTTAATTTTCCACTTAAGATCCTGTGCTTCCTCCTGTGTCATTAGTCTCTAGGGTGTTCACCCTCTTGCCGCTGCCTTTGCAGCAACCCCCATGCTTTCGAAGGCAGCACGGCAGAGTGTTCAGCCCCGTTAGCCCCAGTATTCCTGGGCTTTGTGGCATTCCCTGTTTGCTGGGATTTCTGCCCTCTCACTGTAAGGAAGTGGCTTCTGCCACTCCCCGGTGTGTGACTCGGTACCTCTTCAGCCCTATGGGTGAGAATGGGGCAACACAGGGAGGACCAAATTGGAGCAAGGAGCTTTAGGAGCCAAGCGAGCGCCTTGCAAATTGTGAAGAATTAGAGCAAGCCTATGCACATTTCCCTGCTGTAGCAGATGTCAGCAATCCTGCGTAACCTGGTGGGGCTTGGGAGTCAGATGCGGGGGTGCTCGACAAGCCTGGGTGCAGCAATGTTCCCAGGGCTGCTCTGAACACCCATTGCAAAAGAGGAAATAGGGCTTCTCTGCGTGAAATGCTCAGAATTTATGCGGTGATTGCAAGAGAGGCACTCGTTGTTTCCCTGCGTTGAAACAGTTGAGCAATCCTGAGCCTGACAGCAAAAGTGCAACTTCAAAGGCAAAGTCTCAGCATCTAGATAAACAGTTCGTGCCCGTGCTGGACCGGAGGCCAAAAGAGCTGCTCTTTCAGGTGCTAATTGCGTCTTGTTTTTCTTGCGCAGGATGACTCGTAGTAACCTTTCCCGAAGGGCCATCGAACACTCGGCGCCGCTACCTTGGTTATCCCTCGGAAGAGGTGGACAGTAGTGGGAGAAGTGATGTTCCCAGCTCCTCACGGGAAGATCCCCTTGTCCGGAGTGATGGCCCCTGGGCTGCGATGAGCAGAAAGGAGAAAACCAGCCTGCTCCTAGAGGAGAAAACACCGTCTGGGTTTGCGTTTAATTAGGTGTTTACTAGGAAGGAAGAAAGGAAAGCCAAGAGCAGAGCGGCAGGGACTTCAAACGGCGTTTCTAGCTTCTAGGTGTCACCTCGAGCCCTGCTTTGGGCGCCCGGCTGTGCGTGAGCGCCGGGTGCCATGTGGGCCCCGTGGGCGGCCGTGCTGGCCCTGCTGGCCGCGCTGCTCCGTGGCCGTGCCCAGCATCCCGTGCGGCCCAGGCCCAACTTCGTCGTCATCCTGGCAGACGACCTGGGCTGGGGGGATCTGGGGGCCAACTGGCCGGAGACGAAGGACACGCCGCGTTTGGACTCGTGGACTTCCACGCGGCCGCGTCCACGTGCTCGCCGTCCCGCGCCGCGCTGCTCACTGGGCGCCTCGGCGCCCGCAACGGTGTCACCCACAACTTTGCCGTCGCCTCACGCGGGGGCCTCCCCCTCAACGAGAGCACGTTGGCCGAGGTCCTGCGGGCGGCCGGGTACAGCACGGCGGCCATAGGTAACTCCAGCCTTGACCATCCTTCTGGATGGGCGCCGGTGGGATGGAGCTGCCTCCTTGCGAGGGAGGCGGCGGTGGGGGCGATGCTGCATCTGAAGGAAGGGGAGACCTGACTCTCAGGTGGCAACTAATGGTGAATTTAAAGGGTTGCCTATGAGAGGTTTTGCACTTCCTTCTCTCTGTTTGCAATTGCACACATAAATCATTTATCAAAAAAAAATTTCAAGCAGAAAACACAGCCTGAAATTTGGGCCTGCTCCAGTTTTAAATTGAAACTCTCGTTGCATAACCTTGAGAATGAACATGCTCCGCTTTCGTCAGAAAACATGACGGTGCAGAATAGCGCTGTCCTCGCATGTCCCATGCCGGTCCTGACGTGCTCGGTGCTGGCTTGGAGCAGGCAATTGCTGTCCACGGCTCGTGAGTGCTCGCGGTGGATAAGGGACTGTTGTGTCGTCTTCCCAGTCTATCCCAGCTGTGGATAACAGGGCCAAGCGAATTCCCACTGCAACCGTCACATTGGAATGAAAGAGTTGTAGCGTTCACAAAATTCGGTTAGCAAAATGCCTCCGTGGTCGCAGCTGATGCTCGCGGTGCAAAGCTCTGCTTTGACATCAGGGGTGGCTGGTGGGCATGGAGCTCCGTGTTCTGTCGCTTTTGTCGTACTGAATTTTGCACAGCTCTGAGAGCAGGACAGGGGCTGACGTTTGGGGTGCACAAGGAAAGATTGCCCTGCGCCAGGGCAGCACCAGAATGTTCCATGTCTCTCTGCTTGGTTAGTTTTTGCTGTTCTCCCCCAGATCCACGTTCTCAGTGTGAGCAAGGATCAGGACACCGTGTGGGCTGGAGCTGGGAGCATGAAGCCGGTTGTTCCAACTGCTTGGAAAGTCCTCTCCTCCACCGCCCAATGTGTGAAAGAGCTTTTTAAGGCTCCAGGCGGTTGGTTTGCTCAGACACCAGATACCTTCAGCATTTTTTCTGGGTTTCTGCAAAGCTGCATTCTAGAAATCAGGCCAGCAAAAACAAGTAGCCTTTCTGTTGCTAGATTAAAACCTCCTGCACTGTGGCCCGTGTGTAATCACTGCTAATTGCAAAGTCCATAGCCAAGTTGATCTCTGAATTCAAAGACTTTTTATGGCTTCTCCGCAGGCAAATGGCACCTGGGACACCATGGTCGCTATCACCCCAACTTCCGCGGTGAGGATTTCCTTTCTCCGAGCCACTCCCAGGGCTCCTGGGGGTAATTTGGGGAGTGGGGTGGAAAAGGGGATGTTCCCAGGATGGAGGGCAGTGCTGAGGGCTTTGTGGCTCCTGTTGGAGTGAGCGAACCTGTGCCACGGCGAGAAAGATGGCAGGGAGGGAATCAAAGCCGAGGTGATGATGAGGTGCCAGGGAGCTCTCGTGAGCAGGGCAGCTGTGTCCAGACTGCCTAGACTGGAGGTGGCCTGCAGTGGGGTCTTGCAGCTGGGTCTGGAGCTTTGCTCCCCGTGTGCCAAACGCTCAGCAGCCCCAGCTGGGCAAGAGGGCCGAAGAGCCCAGCTCCTTCCAGCAGCTCAACCTGGCTTCCGCGCTGCTGTGACCTGCAGGTTTCGACTATTACTTCGGGATCCCGTACAGCCACGACATGGGCTGTACGGACAGCCCCGGCTGCAACCTGCCACCGTGTCCCGCCTGCACTCGCCGCGCCGCAGTGCACAGGTACAGCTTGCACTGGGGGGCCCAAAACACCTGCAGGGCAGGTACTTCCACAACCCCTCCAGCCCCAAGAGCTCGTGGGGATGGAAGGTGGAGGCTTTGCTCCAGGTGTTGGCCATGGGCATCTGCTTTCCTCGGCAGGAAGGCTGCCTGGCCGCGTCGCGTCCCAGCGAGCTGCCTGTGGCCGCTCATGCTGGTACCGGTGACTAACGGGGCTGCCACTTCTCCTTGCAGCCGTGTGAGGAGAGACTGTTACACGGAGGTGGCCCTTCCCCTCTTCGAAAACCTTAGCATCGTGGAGCAGCCCGTCAACCTGAGCAGCCTGGCGGCGCTGTACGCAGAGAGAGCTGCGCGCTTCATGCAGCGAGCCCGGTAAGAAGCCGCGCGCCCGCCCGGCCCCTGGTTCACTGCAGGCATCTCCTGGTTATCACAGGAGATCGGGATGCGGATATTGCTGGTAGGTCACTAACCCAAGAGAAACGGGACTCTGGGGTGCTCCCCGTGAGCTCCAGTGGTGGGTGTTTCCTGGGTGTTCCCTGCCAAGCCTGTTTCTTTTTCTCCCTGAGCCCTGCAGTGTTTGGGAGCTGAATTTGGCAGCTGGGTCATAGCTGGTAGTGCTCAGGCTGTGACGATGTCGGTGCTGCAGAGGGAGGCGAGCGAAGCAGCACCGTGCATGTGCACGAGGAACCCGGCGCCGAGAGCGCTGGGGTGCTGCCGGGTGAGCACATTCCCTCTAATGATTCCCAGGGAGCAGATCTGTGCAGAGGAAATGTCAACAGTTCTGTTCTCCAGCCTGCTGCAAGAGGCAGCAGCCACCTAGGATTTCATTGATGTTCTGCAGGATTCCCCTGAAAGTGCTTTAGCCTTCAGTGCATCTCCTGTAAAGGGATCATGAGCGTTTATAAATACAATTTACTAGAAAGGTCAAAGCTTTTGATCTCGGTGTGTGCTGCCTGGTGCGGCGCCGCGCTCACACCGCCACGGGGAGTTTAGTCACAAGTGGCAGGAGATCCAGGCGATGAGAGCGGGGCTTACGCTTTGCTCTCTCACTGCATCGGTTCGGGGAATAAACCAGAATCCCGGGTGGAAAAGATCCTGCTGTCCATGGGAATAGCAGTTTCCTGCAAATGGTTATTTAGCTAACTAATTTGTGGGTGCAAAGGCATTTTCAGTGGTCTGGTGTCCTACAAAGGCTAGGACAGAACTAGGAATTCGGGCATCTGACTCTTATTCTGGTGTCTAATTTTCTCTTTTATTTATTTTCATGGTTCCACAGCAGGCCTGGTAGCATTGTCACATCTGGAACAGCCTTTGCTCTGTTTTTCCCTGTCCCAGAAAGAGCAAAAAACTGTGACCCAGCAACCAGAGTGGGCAGCTTTGCCCCTTCTCCTCCAAAGTTTCCTCCCTATGTGATGTGTGAACCCCTTTTTTTTTTTTTTGCCAACAAGGTGGTGCTGGTTGTTGGTGAGCAGACAAGAAAGTGCATGCTATGGTCTTATGGGTGCAAGAGGTGTTTGGACGTTGCAGGGTGTGGAGCAGAAAAATGCCTTGAGGTGAAATGTGGGAATTAATTAACTAAAGTGACTTCTCCTCCCTGATGTAATCACTGCCTGGTTGTAGGGCAGTGTACATTTTGGCTTCTAAAATAGGACTGGACATTGATTCCTCAGTCCTAGTCGCTTTGGAGAAATGTGAGCAGAAGAAAATGCTTGGAGATAGTAACTGGAGCACTAGGACTTAACGTCTGTTTTCTCTGGGCCTTATAGGAATATGAGGAGTCTGGGCTTGAATTTTCTAAAGGAATAAAACTGCTTTTCTGAGCTGTGGAGATGAGAACTCTGAAACCTCTGCTGATGGGCTCCCTGTCACGTTTCATAATCCCTATTATTCGGGGATTAGAAGCTGTGTCTTTGCAGAATGTCTTCCTGCAGTGTGAAGAGGGGGAATGCTGCAGGGCAGCAACATCTCAACAGTTATGGCCCTTCGGTTGCTGCTCTCCTTGCTAAGAGCATTGCTAGTGACCTTGTATGAGGCAGTCCTGAACCTTTGATAAGTGATAAAAGGCATAAAGATATGAATTCTTGTAAGCCTGGGTACCATTTTGCTTGCAAATTTGCTTGCAAATTTACCCCCTCAGAAGCAAAGAAGTGGCAGCTTCATGAGATGGCTGCGTCGGCTGAGCAGTGCCGCATGGTTGGGTCGGGTGCTTGGGTTGGGGTTCACAGATATGCACAACCGCCTCGTTGCATTTGGGTGCTTGTCTGTTTGAATGGAATTTGTGCAAAATCCCTTCAGCCTGGCAAATGGGCCTTGTTAGACTTTGGAACCAAATGGGTGTGCTCCGGGTTAATAGAAAAATCTTTTAACCTCCTAATAGATATTTTGGGGTTATCTGCATTTGCAGAGAACTGGATTAAACAGGTACCTGCCTTTTCTCTCGCTCTCCTTGATAGCTTATTCCAGTTTTTCTTAGCCTGACTCACGCGGTGTGGGGCAACAAAAAGAACACTGCGTTTGTCATCTCAGTGTTTTTTTAACTAGTCATGTCAAGGTTGAGCAATTAGTGGCAGTGAGATTTGGCTCCCTCCAGAAGAACACTTGAAGCGCAATAAAGAGGAGAGCAAAGGCCAAGGGCATCCGCCTTGACTTATTGATTAAAAGTTTGCTCGGTTTTGGGGAGAGGGGCTGAGTTATGAAACATAGATGCAAAAAGTCCACAAGCATCACAGCTGAACAGAGCGGGCATGAGTCTGTCTGGATCCCTTGGATTGTTTTCCAGGAGTCTGGGGCCAGGCAGGTTGGATAGGAAAAACCCTCTTGCTCCTGTTGAACCTCAGGGCTCCAGTGCTCTGCTGGGCAGTGCACAGTGCCGACGTGAAGCAGAGAAGTGCTCCTGGCTGCACAAGAGCTGCTAAGCACAGGCCTGAATTGGTGCAGTTCTACAGATAAGAAGTCAAGTGGATGCTGAGCATTTTTGCATGATGAAGTGGCGAATGTTTCTGCCCTCCGAGCTGGGCCGATCCCCCTGGCTCTGGGGCTGGCAGGTCCCAGCCGAATGCCCTGCTGAAGTAGGAGTCAGGGAAGCTCTGTCCAGTTTCGGAGCCCCAGGAGAAAGATGCCAGTGGCAGGAGGTTGTCCTTTAGCAGCAGCAACTCATGAGAAGTGCAGTCAACTCCCCTGTTCCTCAAATGTCGTTGTTTCGCAGGAGCTGCAGCACCTGGCCAGGCGCTGATAGGGCACAAAACCTCTTCTGGCTCTGGCTCTGCTCCGCATAAAGAGGCTATTCAGGGAGGGATGAGATTTATTAATTCGTGATCCTGAGGTGGGTGACATCTGTGCGGCAGAGGAAGGAAGTGTAGGCCAGGGGCTGTAAACAGCCTTTGAAGAGCCCAGGGAAGCATCTTAATTTCTGCCGAAGCGGGGCGGCGAGGACGCAGGCGATAAATATAGCTGTAAACAAGAAAACAGGACGTGTCTGCGGGAGCCCCGGGGGCAGCGGAGCGGCCTCGTGTGGCGGCCGGGCCGCCTCCGAGGCCACGCTCGGGGCCTTCGTCCTCCTCCTCCTCTGCTCACGCAGCTCCCGAAGGGCGCAGAGCTCACCAGGGAATGGGAAGCAGGGAAACAAGCCCTGAGCGGAGGGAGGAAGAGGAGCAGCAGGGTCCTGCCGGTGCCACCAGCCCCTCGCGGATGTGGGATGCCTGGGGGAGCCCTGGCAAGCAGAGGAGGAAGAGGGAGGAAGGCAAATGGCATCGGGAAGCAGGGAAAAAGTGACTCACGGCCGGGAAGGGCCATGGGGAGCGTTGGGGTGGGAAAGCCGCCATGCCCGTCACTCCGTCCACCCCACGCGCCGCCGTTGCCTCTGCTTCCCCTGCAGACGCCCATTCTTCCTCTACGTGGCCCTGGCCCACATGCACGTGCCACTGGCAGCCCCGTGTCCCGGTGCCTACGGAGCCGCCTTGCGGGACATGGACGCGCTCGTGGGGAGCCTCAAGCACGCGGCTGACAGCGCCGGTGCAGGCAACACACTGCTCTGGTTCGCAGGTAATGTGGTGAGGCTGAGCACGGCCTCCGTGGGGATTTTCCCTGGCAGAGCCGTGATCCCAGAGGGGACCAGCCCTGCTCCCTGGAGCTGCTTCTGGTCCCCCTGTCAAGCAGCTTGTTTTCCGCCCGGCCGTGGGTTCAAGCCGGACGGCCGCCTCTTAATGAGGCCTCAAATCCTCATTAATTGAACAGCCCAAATCCGTTCTTGCCCAGAAGCCTTCCTAATGAGGCCGCCCAGCTCTGCTGTGACAGGTGACAGGAAGCGCCTGGGGGCTCATTAGAGCTTGAGGCTCCCGTTGCAGATCCGTGCACACACGGGGGGCTTGGGCTGCCTTGAGGAGATGGGGCCATTTTGTTGGGAATAAACCTTTCTTGCCAGCACTGTCAGGCCCTGCTTTCGCTAACGTGTGCTATGGGGAGGAGGATAGCGGGGGACATGGATCTTGCGGCAGGGCACAAAAGCCCCCCAAAGCACAGGATGGAGGGTGCCCCAGGTTCCGCTTTGACCCTTGGAGATCACAGGGGTGGCCCCATGGCTTCCATCAGCCCGTCCGCGTCGCTCATGGGGTCGTTTTTTCTCTTGCAGGTGACAACGGCCCCTGGGCGCAGAAGTGCGAGCTGGCTGGAGGCGTCGGGCCCTTCGTCGGCGCGTGGCAGCGCCCGCGAGGTAACCAGGGCCTTTCTGCAGACGCCTCTGCTCGTCTCCAGAAAGGCGTGATGCTGCTGTGGGTTCTGCTGTCTGTGGCTTCCCAGCCCACTCCCCTGCACAAGCGCTCGCGCCGCGCTCGGGGGCACCAGGCAGGTGGCACGGAGAAGGACAGCTCTCCCGCTTCCCATTCCAGTGTTTTCAGCTGCAGCAGGGCCTCATGTGCCCCACTGCGTTGAGCTGCATCCCGGGCTCGCTCCGCGAAGAGCGCCCCAGTGAGCCCCTGAGCAGGGCTCTGTGAGACTTTTATTTGCTTTCTCTCCGGCATTTCTTTTTTTTTTTTTCCTCCTTTTCCGGCCAAGCCATCTGGTTGGTGGGTTTATTTCAGCTCCAGCGGCCAGCAGCCTGCATGAGTCAGGCGTTTCCCACTTCTGCTTGTCTTACGCACTGTCAGTGCATGGCGGGTCCCGTTTCCCTGTTTGCTCCGGGCCGGCCGCGGGAGGGGAGGCCGCGGCGGAGGCCGCGAGCGCGGAGGCTGCGTCTTTCCTCCGCTGCTTCCTGACACCTCGCAGCGGGAGGAAGTGGAGCCGGCTCTCTGCGCAAACCCCGCGGCGGGCCGGCCGGATGCCTCGCTCTTCTCCCTTTCCGCTTCCCTGGGATACTTTCGTTGGGGTGTCCTGGCCTCGGGAAGAAATCGGAACCTTGAATTTTTTCGTAAACAAACAAATCCTGCCGATGACCTGGGCTGCTCTTGAGCAACCCATGGTCACAAGTCAGAGTATCTGGTACAAGCAGTCCAGCGTGCGGGAACACAACTGCAAAAACACAACCCCCTTCCAGCATCTTGCTGCCCACATGCAGCCCTGCAAAAACAACCCGAGCCCGAATATCACGTAAGGTTAGGAAGTAGATCAAGTTGTCAGGTTTCTAGGAGCTGGCTGTAAATAGCAGCTGGGAACAATGATTTCTGAAATCCCACAGCTTGTTGTTGCACAGATATTTTGAAAGCAGAAAAACATATCTGGGACTATAATAGCTGCATGTTACTGTCAGCCGCTGGCTGATCTGTATCTAGTACTGCAAACTCCCATGACCCTAAGAGCTGTTGCCTTAGCACGGCACCGTGCAAAACTTGTTTTACGTAATGTCTTGGGTAACCCTGCCTATCCCTTGAGTTCCTCAGCACTTTCCACCTTCGTGCGCTGGCGAAAACGCTGCGGCTCGACGATGCCCCCAGCCCTGCTGGGCGGCCTTTCCGTGCGCCTTCCAGCGGGAATGGGCTCTACGTGCTGTGGAGCGGCTTTCCTAAGGGGAAAGGCTTTTTAAGGAAAGGGAGGGAGGTGGATGGAGGATTGCTTGGGAGCACGCACGTTTCGCAGAGTTCGTGTTTCCTTTCAAGGTCCAACCCAAATTCCAGGAATGTTTTCCGTTGATTTAGGTGGTCGCTGGATTAGGCTCTCGCTTGGAGGGGGCAGCAGGTCCATGTGCTTGGCTTCCCCCTGCTCCTGTGTGAGGAAGCAGCGATGGGCAGGGGGTGTCGGGACTGCTGGGCTTTAAGAGGAGGTTCTGGACTCGCCGCCCGCTCCAGGGCCAGCTGGAGGACAGGGCTGCGGCAGATTTGGGGGATGCGGTGGCTTTCTTCCTCCAACGGGAATGCTCAATTCTGCCTTTCCTGGAAAGCCGTGGCTTCCATCAATCTCTGTCACAGCAGGATTGCATCAGCGCTGGTCTTGAGAAAATCCCTGGTTTGGTCTGGGGCATTTCAGCACTGTTTACTGCTGGAAGTGCTAACGTTAGCGTGTCCAGGGCAGCTCTGGCTGCTGTTTTTCTGAAGACACTCCAGGGTTTGATGTGAAATATCTAGTCTACATCTTTTGAGAGACTCTGCTTGTTAGGGGCTTGTGCCTAAAGCATTCGTTTACCTGTCCTTTAGATGTTCGTGAACTCCCCTGCAGAGATGTGGGCTGATACAAACTGCTCAATATTCAATATTGCTTCTTGCAGCATCTAAAAATGTGGGTGGCACCTTGAGTCACAGGTGGTGCATGTTGGAGCACTGCTCATCTTCCTGATAGCTGCAAGAGATCCCAGTGTAGTCTGTGTCCCTCTGACCGGGCTCCAAAGGGAGGAACTCCAGAGGTTTGGGTGGGAAAAGGGAGAGGGGGGAACACAGTTTGGCTGAGCCATCAGGATGGACAGTGTTCCCGGGTTGTGCACGGTGTCATTGTCGCAGCGCTGTCCACTCTAGGGAGACTCACACCCGTGTTTTCTTTTCCCCCAGTAGCGTAAGTCCAGCTGCATCGTTCTGAGAAGGCAGGATTGTCCCAAAGAAGTGTAAAATGAGCCGTGACTCACTGTGACTCCCGGCGAGGCTCGGACGGGATGGGGAGTTCCATAGAAACCGCACACGCACTCCCGGGCCAGAGCCGGGTTCAAAGCTTGTTGTGCAGCAGAAAGAACATCTCCTTTCTCTTGGCTCTGCCTGGAGGAAATGGCTTTGGATTAACGCTGTTGCCATGTGCACGCCTGAAAGCAGGGCAAACAAAAGGAAACGGCCTCTAGCTTGGGAAGGCTCTTTGGTGAACCGGCTGAGACTTTCTGTTTGTCCCCTTCCCCCTCTGCCTTCCCCGCCGCTTCTTGGGTCACTTCATGCTGCAGCAAGAGCAGAGTTTCTGCAGTGCCCCTTCACTCTCGTCCTGGTGCTCAGGGCCTCTCCTGTGGCCCTGGGGTCCCGGCTGGGAAGAGGGATGGGGTGATTTTCCTGCGTAAAGAGGGATGGGGTGACTTCCTTGCAAGCTGCGGGACTGCTTGAGTCTCAGTACAGCAGTAGCAGCACAGGGGCCTTTGGGCTGTGCTGGGAAGAGAACAAAAGGGTTAATTAAACGACAGCAAAGCAAACTGTAGCTTATCAGAAGGAATGTGTTTTTAACGGAGCGGTTTTCGTGGCTTGCAGGGCCACGCGTTCCCAAGCGGAAGGCAAGAACTCACGGGTGACAGGGCCGTTTCAGCCCTGCGTCCCTCACCTGCCCCTCCGTGTGCTCCCGTGTGCTCCCCAGCACAGCCCCTTCGCTGGTTCCTTGCAGAAATTCCATACGTTTCCTGCTTTCCCTGTGTTTCACACCAAAGGGTTGTGCAAACGCCCCACAGCTCCAGCAGCCTGGGCCGGGGGACAGCCCTGCATTTCCCACCTGCGAGGGCAGACAACAAGGAAAAGGCAGCGTGCCCCAACCAGAACCTCCTCCCCTGCCCCACCTGTTTCTTTAAAGACTCCTTTAACTTTCTTCTCCTGGTGTCCCAGCTTCTTCTCGTGGGTGGACGCGCCAGGCCGGGGACATTGAGTGCGGCCTCGTGTCTTGCAGGTGGCAGCTCAGCGAAGCAGACGACGTGCGCAGCAGCACCGCCATGCTCAGGTAGGGACAGGGCCACCTTCCCGGTCCCCAGGGCCTTCTGTGGCCCCGCCGTGGGTGAGCGCTTGCCGTTGGTGTGCGCAGGGGCACGGGGCAGCGGGACAGCTCTGCTTGCCTTGGCACCGCGTCCGGGCTCTTGTGACGAAACCTGGAGGACCTGGTTTACAAGGACACGCTGTCACCAAGCAGGTGACGAGCTCTGGGAACCAGGCGCTTAGCTTAATTTTGGCAGCGGTGGCCTGGGTTGCTTACCGAGTACCTTGTGTAAGACGCCAATTCTGTCCCTGCCAGGCCCGTAAGCCTTAGTGCTTCAGCAAATAGTTGCTGCGAGCTCATTCCGTGGGGCTGGGCGGCTGCAGGGATCCGGGTTTCTCCTTGCTGTGGTGGCCGAGCGCCTCCTGGTAATTAGAAGGTGATGCCGCGAAGTGGGCTCAGGCTTTGTGGTTTGCAAACGGCTTCGTGTGGAGGCGGCTGTGGTTGTGGGAAGGGGCTGGCTGGGGAGATGGGGTTTGCAGGGAGCTCAGGATGCGGCGAGGCTCCGAGGTGGCTCTGGCAGCTCCTGTGCGGGGGTTTTTGGGCAGCGCGGATGGAGGCAGCGTTGTCACCTCCTGCTCCTCGCCTCTCCAGCACAGCTGGGCTGCAGATCTGCAAGGAGCCCCAGGTCAGCAGGCCCTCACAGCCGCCAGCCTCCTCCTCATCCTCCCTGCATGGCATGTGTGAGCCCGGCCAGGCCCGTGGCTCATGTGGGTCCGTCCCTTTTCCAAAGCGAGGAGCTCCTGGCCCCTGGCTTGAGGTTTAGGCTGATGCTGCCCTCTTGGCCGCCCCAGCCCTTCCCCTCCTCAGCTCCTTGCATTCGTGTCCCCTTCGTCCCCTTGATGCCTCCTGCTGCGCTGGTCCCCTGGGGCCTGCACGTTTCACCCCGCTCTCCCTCCTGGAGTGGGGCTCGCCCTGCAAAACGGAGACCTGTTAGTGCAGGGGAGGTTGCCCCACACCGGAGAGCTCCCGTGCGCTCAGCCTGTGCCCCAAGGCAGCGTGAAGCACCGCGGAGCAACGGGCCCCATCCCGAAACACCCCCACTCCCCGCCCCGGCAGCGTTCCTGCCTCCTGGAGCCAGTCTGGCAGGTTGGGCAGAGGGACAAGGGCAGCGCGGGGCGGGGGGACAGCAGGGCAGCAGCGCCATCGGGCCAGGCCTGTCTCACTGCCCTAATGTGGCCCCCGCGCGGCCCCCGCCGAACGCGGCGGCGGCGCCGCCCCAGCTGCATGGGCCTGGGCTGGGGGGCAGTGCCGAGGGGGGAATCCGTCTCCGACGCGGAAATTCAAAGTCAACAAACCCTGGGGAGGTTTCATAAAGTTCAAGCGTGTGACACAAACTGACAAAAAGGCAGGAAATTGCCAGCGAAGGGCTGCCGGCCTCGCCGCCGGGCCAGCCCTGCTGTCCCCTCCAAATCCAGGTGTGATGTAAGCAGCGGAGCAAAGCGCACGTGGCCGGGCCCACGGCTCCTCCGGGATGTGGCTCTGTGTGCTGATGCACTGGTGGTGGCCTGGGTGTGCTACCCGAAATCCCACCCAACCGACCCGCCTTTCCCTTGCAGATATCCATCCTCCCTGTCCCCATGATTAGCAGACTCCTCACATCCTCCCCATCCCCTCCAGAGCATAAAGAGCCCGTGGGGGAGATGCCCCAAACCCGCTTTGTGCCGGGCCAGGCACTGCTTATTTTGCAGGGCGCAGGGGTGAAGGAGGGTCAGCGTCGCCGCAG